AAAAGGAGAGGGGACCATCAGCAGGACAACCCCGGGCTCCAGCCTAGGCTGGCTGGTCCACACCGATGGATGGTGATTTGATGGAAAACTAACACCACCACACCATCTTCTAGATTCTGAGGGTGTTGGAGATTATGTAAGCTCTTCCTTCCAGTACCACTATGGACAGTCTGAGAATTATGGCAGGATGACATGTCTTTCTCACACTCCTGGACCCCAAGATTCTGTATGACAGGGACTGTCTGAGTAATCTGTGCCTGTCAGCACTGGTGCAGCCTCAAGGCAGAGCTGGGGGCTCAATACTGCCGCTGGATGGACGGGCAGGTAGACGTGACCTGTGTAAGTCCCTTCCACAGAATTCCCTGCTGCCTCGAGCTCCTGACAGACTTCTTCCTCTTTCCTGCGGCCTCCACATTGTCTCTGGAGCCAGGCATCCTCAGCAGTGTGCTTCTCCTGAGAGCCACGATGTGATGATCAAGGTGAGAACAGACTTCGTATAATTCCATAGTGACAAATATGGTCGTGAGACATGTGTACATCTGGGATTGTATAAAACTAAGCTCTGTAGAAGTTTATCTCCAGTGAGGAAGGATCGCTATGCAAAGAAACATTCTGGGTGGACCAGGGAAGGGGTGGATGCTCCTACCAATTTCTAGCAAATCCTACCTGCACCCCTCCCCATTTCCAGGTCCTCTGTTACCAACCCATTGCCCCCCAGCAATCTACCAGCCTGAATTACTGAAGCTCAAGGCAGATGTGCGTGGGAGGTACCTTTGCTCCCCAGGAACCCAGACACAACCTAGAAGCCTTAGCTGCTGTAACCCCCTGGAGACCTTAGAAACTTCTCTGTTTGAAAACCACAGAACTCGTCTGTGAACTTCACCTGCCAGGCTGCCAAAGGGACGACACAAGTGAATGCAGACCAAGTTTCAACCTTTTTATTCAAAGCAGCTTCTCACAATGTATAAATACTGCATATTAGCACACATGAAAAATACAACTTCTAAGGCACCCAGAAATGTGTTCATACACGTTACAGGACCATTCACAAAGAGAGTGTACAATTTGCTCTAGACAGTCAGCATTTGATAAATCAGAAGATTATTATCCCTCAGTACTGCACCCAGTCTCAGGTAATATTTACAGTGTGGTGAGAAAGGGGCCGTGTACCTGCTTTATAAGTCTATGAAGTACTCATACTTACAGATATTCAGAACTAGTTAAAGACTTTCCCATGATAACCTGGCGAAAGAAAATGAGTAGCCTAATTTGCAAAGGTCTCCTTGGATTTTGGTGTGTGTGCTAGATCCATGATCAAATCTGAACACTCCCAGGGTGGGCCGGATACGTTTTTTGGTAGCCTGCTTCATTATCAGAGGTTTGGTAATAAGCCTTACCACTAGAATCCCACTTCTTCAGTATCAGATCATTTCTCAGCCGGCCAATGGTTGAATGGTTTCATTGTGGATGAGCATGGGGCATCTACCTAGTGTGAGAAGTGAAGAGATTTCTTCCAGGGCTAAATAGGAAGTGGAATGGGTTGATGGAGAACAAAAAGGAGGTGGAAATTTGGCAACTGTAGGATCTGGCTGCTCAGTCTAGACACGTCTAAAGAACCCGTGCTGGAGGCGTCTACACAGATGGACAAATCATACACTGGTCAGAGACCCTGAAGAAGGCCAGACCTCCACTCTCTATGGTACTGACATGGATAAGACTGGGACTACACAGCAGGAACACCCGCCTGGGATTGCGCATTTCAATCCGAGAAACTCATCTTTCAGAGCCTTCACGAGGGGATGACAAATCCCTCTGTAGGGCCAGCCAGAGGGAGCATGAGGTTGGTGGATGGGGGCAGCTTCTCTGTGCCATGAAGTATGCACACCTCTGCCTAAATGTGCCCACAATCTATGGAACTCGTGCTTTGCTGGAATAATGGAATTCTTTGGTCCTTGGTTTTATGAAAGGCAATATTTTCACAAACCTGTCAACATGGGCATCAGCAAATGACTTCAGGCTGGGACTAATGGCACAGGGACATATTAAATACTAGATGGAAAATTCCACACCCTCCAAACTGCCCAGAGTCACCTTAATGAGCTCCAGAGTGAGGCCAGGTGTTGGGCCAACGAGGCAGGGTCAACCCACAACCCACAAGGTCAGAGCAAAGGCTAAAAACTAGACGTCAGTTTTTCTGATTGACACACACACTGCAAATATTTGAAGCCAGTCTTCATCTTAGTGGAAGATAGGTTGGCTTTATGAGCACGAATTTTGAGATGAACCAAACAACTTGACTTTAGCCATTCTATGGCCCTGGTCTCAAGATCATCTTTGAAACCTTGATAAGGAGAACCAGGAGGTAACTACAGAAGCAGGGCCAATGAGAAAGAATCATTTTTTTAAATTTAATTTTCAAATTTTACTTGGTTTTATCAGATCCTGGTGGGCGCCCGTCCAGTGAGCTCCACGACTTACGCACCACTCAGACAGCCCAGAGTGGACTGTGACCGGCTCAGGGGCGTGCATCTTGTGCACCTAGCTTGCCTCTGCCCTGCTACACCCAGGTTCAGCATGGCTTAACACACCTAGTTCACTGACAAGACACTCAGGACATGTGGGAATGCGGATGATACAACTGAAATCAACTTCAGATTGTCTACACAGTAAGACTCACATGTAAACTTTGTTAACACCTCTCAAGGAGTGCTGACCGCAGCCAGACTGGACGCTCCCAGGTCACCTGCAAGGAACCTGGGGTCAACCGCCAAGGTCAGGAGCAGGAAATGCCGTTGGTTCAAAACAAACGATGGACCAGCGGCCCTCCCTATGACCGTGTCTACACCACATGAACAGCATGAAGGGGGCTCCAGAACACCTGTCCGGGACCCCTTCGTATGGCCAAAGACAATCACCAAGGTGTCTAACTGGTCCCTGCTGCCGTCAACTCAGCCGCACTCTCCAGGTTAGCCATGGCATACAGACTGCACAGAGTCCATCCACATGGCTTACACTGCTTAAAAAGAACAACCCGTATTACCATTTTTTTTTTTTTTTGCAACAAGCTTAAGGCTCTGTTCACAAACTCCATCAACTGCCACACAGTGAGAATTTATGGGGAGATCCTCAACTACATACGTAGTTGCAAAGGTTGGAAAATTTCACTGATCCTAATGGTAAGGCTTATTCACAAATTCAATACATTTTTTCAAATTATACTTCAAACTCAATTACTTTGAGAAAAAGAAAATTAACCAGCTCTCTAACAATTTAGGAGCACTCGATTCTAATGGAAAACAAAGAAAAACAGAAAACCATTGGCACCAAACCAGGATGCTATTTCTTGAAAGAACAAGTGATAATAATGGAAAAGATTGCCTAAAACGCAGATCCTAACTTACCACAGAAATATAAAAGTTTATATTCTGAAAATATATATACTGTATTAAAGTCTGTAAGCATTTCAACCAAAATTTGCAGAAATAACTAAGCAACACTTATCTACAACAAAAATATACATGCAAGACAACCCCCAAATGGTTTCCCTTAAATATCTACAAAAGCAAAGTGTAGATTTTTAAAGATCATACAAAACCATTTACAGAGAATAAAATAAAATACTTAAGAAATCTCATTTAGAGTCTTAAATACTGTGTATATTAGTGAGGATGTCTAAACTAATATATACAACAGATCTCAGTATCTGAATACAGAAACATAGAAGAGAAGCAATTCTGCATTTTAAATATTCACTTAAGAAGATCTGAAGGTGTTTCTATATTTCTCTTTGTTAAAAAAATTTCCACAGAAACTGGCTTGGAAAATTACATGAATGTGACTAAATTTCAAATTAAAAAAGTGTACAAAAATTTTTTAAACCAACAGTTAATCATGGGAAATGCAATTCAGCATCCAGTGAAGGCTATTTTTCAACATGGTTATCTGGAAATAGAGTTGCATTGGTCAAAGTCTACTGTGATTATCACTTTTCCATCCTCATACTAAACTCCACATGGGAAAAACATATTTTCATGCTTCAGAGAGAACACTTCCCAGTTTACTTTATACCAAACAAGAATAACATTTTAAATCAATTCTCTACTAGCTTCTTAGAGTTACCCAACTTCATATCCTAGAGGGTCATTTTTGATGGTTTTCAACCCACAGACATTATTTCAGAGCAGGAAGGGATATATGGGTATATCAGCCTTAGGCCGAGCCATTCAAATGGTGAGGAGCTCTGACCATCTTTGCAAAGTTCTCCAAAAAGCCCTCCTGAACCATGCTGTTAACTCAGATGCTTCCACTGCAAGACCCTGGCCGCTAATCACCAGGGGCTGGAGGAGAGGGGAGCCCTAATGCAGGCCTCACGGGACGGCACAGACTGCACTGTCAGAAGACTCCTTGACTAAAGAAGTGCCCTCATCTGCCCCAAAGGTGGTCCCAGGATGTGGCCGCCAAGACCAAGTGCAATTCCTCTAAGACCTGCCCAGGCTCTGGGATGTGACCGACTGGGTGGGGAGGGGGCGAGACGGCGTAGAGAGAGGGGAGAAAGGATCGTGTAGATGGAGAGAAGGTTCTGGGGTAGAAGAGAAGAAGTGAAAACCTGGGCCCCAGCTCAAGAGAGCTACGGAGGACAAACGTTGGCACAGCCACAGGTGTGGTGAATCTCAGCCCATGTCGGTTGGCCGTAAGTTACCTGGATCTCATCTCTGCATTATCAAAGCAACTATTCAGAAAGTGAAAAACTCAGTGGTTTGGTCTACCCTGTAACCAACAGATTAAACTGACTTTTGCCCAATTTGTGGAACATCCTTCTTGAACTGACTGTATGGAAACAGCCCAAACACAGACTGTCGGGTAAAATATCTCCTGTTATACGTGGAACCTGCCCCTTAGCCTCAGGTATTCCACCTGAGTGGTGGTTTCACGTTCCTACCTTATCATCAGAGATCCTGGAGGTGTTTAGAAGTTTGGATTTGATGATCCAAAGCTACATTTTAGTCCAAAGTTAAAACACTTCTGGTTTTTCTGACAGGGGACAAAGATGGGCATTGAGCCAAAGAAATTTCCAAACATTGCCTTCCATCTCCAAAGGGATTCCTAACTCTGCTTCTAGAGACAATGAAGTGGTTGCCCCTAGAAGGTAAACAGAAAGTAAGGTGCTCTTTCTTTAGACGACTTAGTGATGGGTGAGAAATTACCTGCCAAGAATGAGGCTGTCTAGGGGCTTTGGCAGAGCACACATTGGCTTTCTCAAACGAGGAGACAAAACCAAATAGAGATGTGATCACAGGCATTTGGGCAAAGGGGGGTGTTTCCCTATAGTAACAGTTCCTACAGGATCCCACGTGGACCACGCTGGCGGGCAGGGGGTGGGGGTGGTGTACACAGGACTTCAACCCATCTTCCTGTGGATGGATTTAGCCAAGGCAGTTGTCTCCCTGCCAAAGGGAGAAGCAAGTGAGACGTGTGCTCTTCCCTGATTCTCTTGAGGACACAGGAAAAGGAATGGGGCTTCCTGCAGAGGGAGCCAAGACCATCTGAAGGATGGAGAACCCAGGTTAAGTCTCTAGTTCAAGTGCAGAGACTCCACCTGTCCTCCAAAATGCAAAGCTCAGCACCATGAGTCCTCTCCACCTGCCCGGCCCAGGGTGTCCAGCTGCCTCCAGAGGAGGAAAGAGGACCAGAGAGGGAACTGCAGCAATGACCCTGCTGCAGGGGTCAATGAGGGGAGCTTCCTCAGCTGCGCCCCTCCACTCTCTCCAAGGAAGGGTCGGGAGGGGCTGCTGACTGACAGAGGGCGGGGGGGACAGGCAAGCAGAGGTCCTTGAGAACACTCGGGGGCTGGGGTGGAAATGGGAAGATCCTGCCACTCTGAGAACCAAACCTTCTCTGGTGTGTGACCCCACACAGAACACGGCCCTGTAACTTCTCTGCTTGAACCCCGATGTCGACCCTCTCCTCTGCAACCAAAACCAAGGCCCCAGACCAAAACCTCTCCTCCCCCACGGCCAATCTGGGGACTTTGGGCTGACAGCCTGAACACAAACGCTGGGGCCCCTCTGCGGCCCATGGGCAGAGGCCTATTCCCTAGTTACTGCTCCCTCATGGGAGTAAAGAGCCTGAAAACAGGACTTCTGGAGGCAGAAAGACTTAGACCTGCTGCTGACAGCTCCATAGAGTGGGGACTCTCCCCCACCTCTCTGGAAGGCCCCAACCAGACACCACTGCCCTAGGAGAAAAGGAACTCTGAAAGTCAAGTCCCAGAGGAAGAAGTGTCCCTCAATAGTATGCAACCCCCAAGGGGCCCAGTCCCCACGTGTTCCTGACATCCGGGAATTAGGGACTGGCTGTGTCTCAGGACCACTCAGGCAAGAGGCCCCTTTATCTCCTTAAAGGCAACAGGGCAAAGAGAAGACCTTTCCATGATTTCTCCTAAGAACAAGTGTTCAATGATCACAGAACTGTTTTATATGTAGAGAATCTGGCGCAGAGCTGTTCTTTTTAATCCTAGAAATCCTGTTTCTATCTCTCTGAATTTTACTTCAACGTGGTTCATTGCTAGAATGCACCAAACAGCTCGAACCCTGTATGGGATTTGGTCCAGGGCAGTATGAAAATAGTATCTGTGTGAACAACAGATATCGTAACGTATAAACAAAAATAAATAAATTAAATAAGTCTGATTAAAGGGAAAAAGAAAACCGCTTTCCTAGTAGTTTATGTGTTTTGCAAAACTAGCTTTACATATAATACACATAAATTATCAGAATTTCCACTTACATCATTTTAAAAAATATATATTTAACAAAACGCTCCTAAATGTACAATATCTGGGTTTTGTAAATCACTCGGTTGGGTTGTTAAGACCAAGCCCTAAAAGTCACACAGACGTGTGTCAGAGAGGAGACTGAGGCCAGCTCCACACAAGCGTTCTGCTCACTGTTCTGGAAAATCCCCTAAGACTGGTCGCCCCCCAGTCACTGGATCTGCCCTTAACCAGAGAGAGCCAGGGCAGCTGAGTCTCCACGTCAGAGGCACTGTGTAGACACAGCCTGAGTCAGAAGGGTCGGTGGGGCGGGGGGACCGGTCTTCCTTCCTGAACCAGGGTGGTGCATCTCAGCAAGTGGGGCAGGACAGGGACGCCTGGCAAAGGCCGGGGAAGAGATAGCCCTCGATGGCCCTCCAGCCAACTGGGGATTGGGGCGGGGCCCCGGGGCGGGAGGCCGAGTACGCTGCGTTTCCCATCATCACACAAACCAAACCAATGAGGGGCGAGCAAAGGACACGAGGAGAGGGACACACCCTAGGGACAGAGAGACGCCGGACAGACTCCGCGGCCGGGCACACACGGGGCTCCGATCTCCGCAACACGGGGCGGCGCTGGAAGGCAGGGGCCCTGCAGTGCCGGGCCCTCAGACTTCGTAGATTTTGTCCTGCAGGTAGCTGAAGAGGGAATCCAGGCCTTTGGAGGAGCTCCAGAGTTGCTTGAGCATGACGCATTCTTTCTCGTTCACGTCCTCAAGCGCCGACTTCAGGAAGCTCCGCACGAGGCATTTTGACTCCTCCAGCACCTGCAGGGGACACACAGCCTCGTGAGCCAGGCGCCAGGAACCCAGCTCCCGGGGGGACGCACTTGGCCTGGGCAACCTGACGTCCACAGCCAGAGGCGGCGCCTCCTGTGGTCCCGGGCTCCCCAGGCCCTGCCCCTTGGCGACACCAGGAACAGGTTGCATGTGTGCCCAGATGTCAAGCCCTCAGTCCTTGGGATGGCTGAGGGGACCTGTGTTAACCCCGACTGCAAGGTCTTTACCCAAGGGTGGCAGATACTCAGTACCACTTTCTATGGATGCCAGGAAAAAACCTGGGCAAACACTGCTTTAACCTCCGTGTGCTACCTAACTCGAGAATGGCTGGGATCACAGGGTAAGATAATGAAGTGAGCTAACGGGTTGCCAAAGTACCCACAGGACCCGCCTCAACAGCAATGCCCTTGCTCAGGCTTAGCAGTGAGAGCAGTAGTAATAAAAGGAGCGATCCTTGCAAAGCGAGTAATAACAACGGCAGTAAATGGCAGTAATGAGCAATAGCAGCGACAACAGTAACACCAGTATTATAGTTGTGATAGCAGTAATGTTAGTGCTGGTAATAATGGTAACAGTAGTAACAGCTATAGTATTACAGTGATGCCAGTGACAGCAATAATACCATAGTATTATATTACAGCAGTATTAACCACTGGAGTATTAGGAATATAGTAGCCATTGTGGTGAAAATGGCAATAATAATCATGATCCTGAGTAAGAACAATTGTAGCAATCACAGCGATAGCAAAGCCACTACCTCCACCATTAGCCTGTCGGCTCTATGACAGGCACTCTCCATGGATTCGTGTATTTCCACCTCAAGTTAATTCCACAGAGAGGCAGTATGTTTATCTCTGCATTACAGACGAAGGACCTGAGCTCAAGGAAGGGAAGTTGCCCACGGCTGCCTGGTGGACATGCCCTGCAAACCCCTGGCTGATTCCGGAGGCCCCACGGCTGCCTCAGTCTGGCAGAGGCACAGCTGGTAGCAAAGTGTCCAAGCATCCTTCTACTCACCTACCCGTTCTCTGCAGACATGGGGACTTCAGTTCTCAGTCTCATCAAACGCTTTCAGACAGAAAAAAGCAAGACAAGAGCTCCCTTGCTCAAGCAGGCTGGAAATGGGCAGTGACCATATCCTTTAGCTTGGGCTGGAGGCTCACGGGTGGTAAGAAAAGGCCGGCTGACGAAGGATATCTCTTCCCTCCCCCAGATTTCTCCGAAAACCACCATCTCCGGGAGCTATGGGGGAGATTCCTGTCTCAGGTGAATCACCCCAAAGCTCCTGAACTCCTATCTGTGGACAGGAGAGTCTTCCTTGCAGGATTTCTCCAAAAGCCGGTTTTGTCTGAGCACCCCCAGAGGTCAGACTCCTCAGGGGAGCTTTGGGGTCTTTGTCCCCCTGCCTTTTCAGCCTTGTCACCCCCCAACACCCTGTGCGCCAGCTCAGGCCACCAGGAGCTGCTGCCTGAACCCCACGTGCCCCCACTCACACCGTTTACCCCACTGAGAACATCTATCCACCTCGGCAGGCAGAGGCCCCTGTGGCACCAACCACCCCTGTCTGCCCAGGCTCATGCAGTTTCCTGGGACTTGAGACCTTCGGGGCTAAGACCACAAGAGAGAGAGTCCTGGGCAAAGGGCTGGCCGCCAGAGTCGTCGGGAAGATCAAGAGAATCCGCATAAAGAGCTGAGTGAAGGGCTCGGCCCATGACAAACCACCACCAAGGAGGCAGGGCCGTCCCCACCCCACCCCCGGCCCTGGGACCACAGGCTCCCTGCGGGCAGCGCGGACACAGTGGGTGTCCGTACAGGCTGGCGGGGACCATCAGGAGGTGAGTGACGCAGGTAGGGACTCAGGGTAGACAGGGAGAAGGGGCGGGTGGCCACTCGGCCCCCACAGTCCAGCCCAGCTCCCCATGACGCTGGAGCACAGACAGTGTCGGGACCTTCTGCTCTCAGAGCGCCTTTTCTCCTGCCCTGCCCTTTCCCCCGCTGCCACAGGGTATTTCCACGCAGCGCTCAGAGCGACTTTCATGAGAGAAAATCGACAGTTAAAACCCGGTGCCTCCACAGAGGTGTTATTCATTTATCCAGTTTTCAAGGGGTCTTCAGAGTCGAACTGTGGACTTTAAATGCGCCGCGCGCTGGGCAGGCAGGAGAAATGAGGGAACAGGGCGGCAGAACTGCTCTTTCTCATCTCTCAGTGGGCTTGTGCCCTGCCCTTATTTGCCTTTGCTCCCCATTTCTTTGAAAACCATAGATGATTTGTGTTCCTGTGCAAGTTTAGGAACTTTAAGGCATCACTTCCACCCCAGGGTATAAATCTCTTCTGAGGTTTCCGCACTGGAGCTGACGTGGGCACACCTAACAGTGGGTGACTGTCTCCCTCTGGATTTAAGCTCTCAGCACCGAGACTTGGCCTCTGTTAAATCACACAGGGCCTCTCCACATACTCCCTGCGTGACCTCTGGCAAGTCGGCCACTCCCTTCTAGTCCCGCTGCCCCTCCTGTGAAACGGGTCTGCCACGAGAAGAGCGCGCAGAGACGCGGGAACTCACCACCGCGCTGCAGGAGGCCATCTCCTTGACCCGCAGCATGACCTCCTGGCTGAACGTGGTCGGCCAGAACACCTGGGACACGAGGCCTCTGCTACAGGCCTCCTGCGCGGTGAGCTTCCGCCCACAGAACAGCATCTCGTTGGCCTGAAAAAGCAAAAGCAGGAGAAGGCTGAGAGCCCGTACGCCTCCGAGACTGTTAACAAGCGAGCATGCTGCGGGTGATGGTCCCAGCTCTCAGAGGCGGCATCCTTAACTGGGGACCAAAGATGCTGCGGAAACTATTTGCCAACACTTGGGTCTGTGTCCGTCTTTCTGAGCGGAGGGCCCCCAGCTTCCGTTAAATTTCCAAAAGAAGCCACGTACCTACAGGAGCCTCGTCTGCCAATACCCCTCCCCGTGTCTGATGGCAGACCCCCCACGAGGGGCTGGGGACAGTTCAGAGTTGACACCCTGTCCTTGACGGCTGATGTGGGAATGAGCAGAAGATCCACCCTAGACATTAAAGCTCTCTGTGAGGTCTCCAAGCTGGAGAGCATGGGGAAGAATCTTCCTCCTTCTCTGGCGGCTTAAGGCGCTCAGCGCAGGGCTGCCCGCCGCTGTGTCTGTCCCTGCTCCATGGAGAGGAGGAGCTGCGAGGACAGGATGGATGGAGAACAAGAGCCCTGCTGGCGCTGGGGTTCCGGGGCCCGGCACCCCCAACAGGGGCTCTACTGCTGGACCGGCCAGTTACGGGAACCACTGAACTCTCTGTTCCCCCCACACCTCCCTTTAAGTCACTTCAGGTGTCTCTTCACCGACTGCCCAAAAGGTCCTGAGTAACAACACGATCCCGACACAGAGAATGCATCCTTTCCAGGGGCCCAGGGCTGGACGCAGACACTGCCCAGCAGCCAAGGGCAGAAGCCCCTCCTGCCTTCCGCAGAGCCCCCGGCACTCTGCTCCCCGAAGGACTTCTCTCAGCTGAGAAGTGTGCCGCTGTTACTCGTGTACCGGGAGGAGACGCTTGGATAAGGTCCGAGGCAGAGGCTGGGCACAGTGCACAGCCCCTGACACCAACGCCTGACCCTCCCACGGACAACCAGGGCGGGACGGCCGTGGGCCCTCCTTCAGGACAGGTCCCCGCCTCCTTCCCACAGCGGAACATCCAACGCCCTCCCCGACTGCCGTCCACCGGCCTCCCCTCCCGTCCCCTTCCTGGCCCTGCACGCTTTAGCTGCTCTGAGGCAGATGTTGAGATGCCAAGCTCTCCCAGCCTCTGGATCTGTGCACATGCTTCCCCTCTGGGGGGGTCACGATGACCCAAAGGACAACTTTCATGCCCGAGGAGTGAAATTTGTCAGGTTGGTAACAGGCCAGTGGATGCATCTAGTTGGAGGTTTGAAGACAAACACACGCTGTATGTGTTTAGAGACAAGAGACACCGTCTCAGGAAGGAGGAATGTGAGGAAGGAACCCAGGAGAAGAAGCCAAACGGGACGCAGTCAGCTGGCAAGAACAGGTCTCAGTCGGGAACATTCTTGGAGTTTCAGAAATGATTGAAATGAAAGAAAGAGACAAGCCTCTGCAGTGTTAATATGTTTGTGACCACCAAGGCCGGGAGGAACGGGGCAGAGCACAGAGGCCAAGATCACAGGGAGAATGCCTGCCTCATCTGCCTGCCACTGCTGAGGCTGTGAGCTGCAGAAAGCGGCCCCGGCTCCTGAGTCCAAACCACCTTGCAATCCACCTGCTGGGCAGGCTGTGTAGACACCGGCGGGCAGCAACCCCGGGAGGCAGAAGCAGCTGAGATGACCTGCAGACTGCACGGAGAGGGAGCAGCCCTAGGACCCCACCCAAGGGAAGGGCCACATCCTAAACAGCAGGACAGAGGAGGAGTGCTCTGGGGCCCCAAATGTGCCGCAGGGACGAGCAGGCTTACCAGGGCGACACCCAGGATCTGGGGGAAGGTGTAGGAGGAGCAGCCGGCGGGCGTGAGGCGGATGGTGGCGTACGGGGTCTGGAACCAGGCCTTCTCGCTGGCCCACACAATGTCACAGAGGGGCAGGATGGAGGCGCCCAGGCCCAGAGCGGGCCCGTTGATCGCCACCACGATGGGCTTCTTGAACTGGATAAAGGCCTTCACAAAGTCCCTGGGGGAAAGAGAGGACCTTGTTGAGCAGGTGAGCGGACTTACGGACACGTTTGATTCTGTCGAGGTGGGAACAAGCCCCCCCAGGTGCTGGGAAGCACCCACGGGTCATCAGGGGAGCTCGCAGGGGAGCCCCGGAGTCAAGGGCACAGGCATGGCACAGTGCTTGGCGTCAGATTTTCAGGGGAAAACTCATGGGGTGACCATGGTTTGCCCAGAGGGTCCCAGGTCAAGCCCATGGTCTCAGCACCGCACCTGGCTACCCCGCCCTTCCACCTCCAAGATAGTAATGAAGAGCAAATATCCCTAAGGAAGACACCCTGAACGTTAGCGCTCACTACGGAACTAAAAGGAGGGTGTGATAAGGAGGGGTATTTGAACTCAAGGAGAGAAGGAATGTGTTCATGCGCCTTTGGCAGCATGAACCCCTCCTTACTGGAGGTACCCCAAGTTTGGTCCGATGATCACCCTGAGTGATGCTGTAGAGGGAATTCAAGCTTTAGACAATGGGCACAGGTGGGGACTGATGACGTTTAAAGAGTTCTTTCAGTCTCAGGACTGTCTGATTCTGAACTACCTACAGGCATGCCAGACTCATTGAGTGTGGTTCTAGAATGTTGATGAGGGTCTGTGTGTTTGGGTGGCTTTGGCCAAAATTGGGGAAGGATGCTGGGCTCCCCCGGGGGCATGAGGCATCTGGCTCCATGGCTACAGATCAGGCAATGTCGCCTCCTTGTCCTCCTGCACTGAGCAAGGTTATAGCACGCATCTTGAATATTAAACAGGGACGCCTACAACAACCTCTGGTCCTCTGGCTTAGGACACTCTTCACCTTTCCCCTAGCTTCTTTATAAGGTCCATAAAACATTAATGTTCATCTGGACATGGAGGAAAAACCCAGGATGTCTAGTAAAGCCTGCATCCCTCATTCTTTTCAGGTGGAAGATTGGAAACTAACAGGAACTCACAAGAATAAAATCCAGACTCCAGATCGTGACCTTGGTCTGCCTCCACTTCCCTCTCCAGCACCATCCCCTGTCTCTCTCACCTCTCTCTCACCCAGGGGCTTCCTGGGCCTTCTGAGAGTTCCTAGAAAACTCCGTGATAGGGATTTGCAATTATCCCAATTATTTGCTGCTTGCTTGAATGCTCCTCCTTTTCCAGTTCCTTAAGGAAACTCACAGGTCTGCCTCATGCACTGCTTGGTCTCCAAGCACATTGAGATGAACACTTGGTAAATCATCTCCCAGAAAGAGAGCAAGGATGGTGGATGTGTGGTAGGGATGCACTGGCTGGTCCTCAGACCTGTTTTCCCTTCCCTCTTCCTCCTGGGGTTACTGTTGGGACATGGCCCCCAGTCTCCCTGGCAGCTGGCTATGCCCACGTAACCAGGTGCCAGCCGATGGGACGTGAGTAGAAACCAGATACACACTTCTGGGCCTAGTACAAGAAAATCTCCCACCACACAGCCCTCCCGGCCCTCTCAGCTTGACAAGCTCAGCAATCTTGGAACACATTTGTTGAATCATAAAATGGCAGGTGTTTGGGTTCCTGACTCACCCCTTGGAGGACAGCCATGGGTTGATCAGTAATATCTATTCTGCATTCACATATGCAAGAAGTAAACTTCTTTCACAGCTAAGCCATTATGTATGTTGGGGGTTCATTTGTTACAGCAGCAAATACTTAACTTATACAAACATCAAGCTGATTTATCTCTTCTCAATTGATACTATTCCCCCAAATTCTTCTCAAAAGATCTGGGTATCACAGTGGTATGCCAGGATTGGACTGAACTGTGAGAAGATGGCTTAACACTCCTGAAGTGGGGGTTATCTTAGGACCTATTTGTTGTTGCAAAAGTATGCACCCAGGCTTGAGCCGTTGGATTTCCTGACTTCTGTGTGACTCTGTGAGTAGACTCTTTGGGACATATCTCAGCCACTGCTGCCCAGTGCAGCTGACCCCAAACGGACACTGCTGCACAGAGGGAAATGTGGCCCCATGGCCTTCTGAGTCCTGGTTTTCCAGTGGCCTGTTTCCTAGCTTCACTTCCTGACTTCATGGCCCCAGTCACTGGTTTTAACAGGTGCTTTTTACCAAATACAATTTGGAATCTGCAGGGGGATGTGGGGCTTCTTTTCAGGGTCCTTGGAACCATGGGGTTTGGGTTTGGGATTTTCAACAGATGTCCCATTCCTAAACCCCGTGGTACAACTCCAAGATCCTGGATCTCACAGTTGGGAAGGACGTTAAGAGAGGGGCAAATCTTCCACTTGGCATAGAATCACCTCCTGAGGATGCATCACAGCCTCTGTTGCACACTCTCAGTAAAGGGGGCCCACCCCTATCAGGACCTCCCCCCTGCCGCAGTCCCTCTGATACTCCTGTTCCCTCTGCTTCACCATCCACAAGACAGTCCTTCCAGAAAGTCACTTGGGCCCTCATGACTCTCTAGGAGCTGCCTCTTCCGGACCCCAGAAACTTTGACGCTGCTGTTTCCAACCTGAGCCCTGTGCGCAGGTACCAAAGACCCTCGAGGAGGACAGAGGGGCCCAAGCGTGCTCAGCTCTGAGCCTCTGACCCTTCAACCCCACCCTCCCGTTTCAGTCCAGCATGCTCAGTGCTGTTGCTTCGGTTATGTCCGACTCTTTGCGACCCCATGGACTGCAGCCCATCAGGCTCCTCTGTCCTTGGGACTTTCCAGGCAAGAATTCTGGAGTGGGTTGCCATTCCCTTCTCCATTCAGTCCAGCAGACTTGCAAATTCATTTCCTTGATATAAAAACACGATGAGCAGACCACACTCCCCTTCCTTTTCATCTCACCTTGAGCAGGAGATCTCTATCACAACAGTGTGCTGGACGTGGAAGCCAGACAGCAAACAGGATATTGCATTACAGATGCTGCCGCTCAGATATCTGATCCTGGCCCGGGTGGCAGGGCAGCGCTGGGGAGATGCCTGGCGTCTCCCCTGTGTCAGAGTCCCTCGGGCTCATGCCAGCCCTCATCGCTGCCTCCACTCAACCTGAGCCCACACCAGGAGCTGCAGGCTGGGCCGACATGGCAGGAAGATCAGGAACTTTGGTGTTGGAGGACTTGGCCTCCAGCCTCAACACTGCCCCTAATGAGTGGGGAGATCTAGGACAAGTCGCCTAGTCTCTGGAGCCTCATTTGGCTTCTTGTAAAATGAGAAAGCCAGTGGTGTGTCCCGAGATGAGAGCAGAGACTTCAATGTGAGGGTCCACCCAGCACCAGCTCAGTGCCTGGCACGTGGCTCTCTGTCACGGTCAGCGCATCGGCCGGTGAGGGCAGACACAGCTTTCACTCTGTTCCCAGTGGTCTGTGATCTCCTCTCCTGGCCCGCAGGAGACTCAGAGCAAAATCCTGCAGCAGGGGTGTCCAGAGTCCACCCGGAGCACTTGGCAACTGTGACCCTACTACCTGTTCCCTCTAACGGGAGCCATGGGGTGCAGCACCCCCACTGTCAACGTCCAGAGCCAAGTCGGCCGAAACAGGGGGACATGTGGGCACCAGGCGCTCATGTGACAGCCACCCTGGGCGCCCCCAGACGCCCACTCCATCGTCAGATCCAGGGTTTCAGCTAGATCTCACGGCTGGAAGTAACGGGAAGAACAGTGAAAGTCATCCTTTACACCAGCTCTAAGTACTCACTATGGGCCAGGGATGGACCAAGTATACACTCAGGTTATCTGACTCCTTCTCGTCCCAGCATCCGGCCAGTAGGCCATGGTCTCCCCTGTAAGGGGTTCAGGTGAGGCCGGCCTCTCTGCCAGGATGGAGCACACAGCTTTGTTTGGGTCCTGGAATGAGGCTTCTGCGGAGTGAGTCATCCGAACGTTTCCCACATCTGCTAGTTCATTCAGCGGACATCTGCAGAAGGCAGGCGGCTCCCCGGGCCAGGGGCAGGTGTTTTCTTTAGGAAGCGATCAGAATGGGAAGGGGCCACGGCTCGCAGTGCCACAGCTGTGTGTCTGGCCCGGATCCTGGGCTCAGCCCAGCTGAGATCGTGCGTGAGAACTGCAAGGGATGCCTGCAGCGTACGAGGTTCTGTGGCCAAAATACGTTATCGGCCTTGCTAGATTTTGAACAAAGTTCTTTCACAAGAGACCTCTCAGACTGTAAATTTGTTTACATGCCTGGAAAATCCACAGGAGAGGGGACAGACCTCATTTATCAGCAGGGCTCCTCATTCACGATGCTTCTCTGGAAAGCTGCAGAACATTCTCTGGGAAATGCTTCTTCACATTGTGGTTCCAGAACTTCTGGTGCATGTGTGTTAAGCCTCTTTCAGTCATGTCTGACTCTTTGCGACCGTATGGACTATAGGCCGCCAGGCTCCTCTGTCCATGGGATCCTCCAAGCAAGAATAACGGAGTGGGCTGCCATGCCCTTGTCCAGGGGGTCTTTCCGATTTCTGGTGCTCTCAGTCAATGTGAAGAAGCCTCTTGGTTGGCACAGGGCAGGGGTTCCTGATCTTGCTTTCATATTAGAATCACCAAAGAAATTTTGAATCCCAAGACATGCTCCCCCAGCGCTCCCCCAACTCATCAAGTCCAAAGTTCCGGGAGATGGGGCCAAGCCACTGGATTTCAGAAAAGCTCCCTGGGCTGAGAGCCAGTGGTCCAGGGGACATGTGGCCCCCAGACAAGCCATGGTTCGGTGGTGCCACCTGGTCCCTGAGGAAGGAGCACTTGGTCCAAGTAGTGTGGCGGCGGGTGTGTGCCCTTCCCAGGGCGGAGGGCCAGTGACAGCCTTGCTGGAAGTCACGCCCACTTGCTTCTGACAAATCTGTAAAGAATGAGGTTGCTGTCCCAGAGGAGATGCTGATCTATGGGAGTGGGTGTCCTCCCCAGGATACCAGCTTGTGCCACAACGGCAACGCAAGAGGGGAGAATGCTCCCCACCCAAGGGTCCGCGTATACAGCGCTGTCCACGCCCATCCTCCTCCTCATGGCTGAGCCGCGGCAGCTCCACGAGGCTGGGACACCCAGAAAAGCAAAGACTTCACCATCAGGCAGAGGGTGGGATTAGTGTGTATAACACTTGGGCATTACCAGAAGCTGGGTTTAACATGAGGAAATAAAACCTCTTTTTGATCAAAAAAATAAAGTGGGATATAACCTAGAGTGTAAAAGCATCTCTAATTTTGGCAGGAAAATATCGGATGTCCAATTAAACTCTGAATTTCAGATAAACATAAAACAATTTTCCAATAGTCACATACAGATATGAGAATTGGACGATAAAGAAGGCTGAGCACTAAAGAACTGTTGCTTTTGAATTGTGGTGCTGGAGAAGACTCTTGAGAGACCCTTTGTACTGCGAGGAGATCAAGCCAGTGAATCCTAAAGGAAATCAATTCTGAATATTCATTGGAAGGACTGATGATGAAGCTGAAGCTCCAATACTTTGGCCACGTGATGCGAAGAGCTGACTCACTGGAAAAGACCCTGATGCTGGGAAAGACTGAAGGAAAAAGGAGAAGAGGGTGGCAGAGGATGAGATGGTTGGAAGGCATCACTGACTCAGTGGAGATGAATTTGAGCAAGCTCCAGGAGACAGAGGAGGACAGAGGAGCCTGGCGTGCTGCAGTACATGGGGTCACAAAGAGTCGGACACGACTGAGTGACTGAACAATTTTTTAGTATAAGTGTATACCAAATGCTGCATGGGATGGGATATACTTATGCTTTTAAAAATGTTTCCGTGTTTGAAATTCAAATTTAACTAAGCTAAACCTAGGCATGTCCCCCCACATGTCCAAACTCCAGCAGGGTTCACCTGATGGCCTCTGCAATCCGGGCGCTCTCCTTCCTCCGGTCGCTGGACAACCTGCCAATCAGGTAGGAGTAATCCAGGCCACTGCAGAACACGCTGCCCACAGCGCTGAGCAGCAGCAGCTTGCTGTCGTCCGTGGCTGCGTTGCAGAGCGCACGCCGCACCTCCTTCATGATCTGCAGGCAGAGACGGATTTGTGGGGATGCTGAGTGGTCCCTCCAAAAGCAGAGCACCGTCAGACCTGAAGATCCCTGGGTGCAGAGGAGAGTGGATCTGCTCTGCAGGTGCAGGGAGCCCCCCCTGCATACACGCCACACCCAGACCAAACAAAGAAACCCAAACCCGACTCCCTGAGCCCTCCCCGAAGCAGCACAGAGCACCAAGCCGGTGCCAGAAGGGTCAGTGACTGCAGGCTCGGAGGCCGGGTGTGGAGCTGTCTAAGTCTGCCGAATCTCAGCACGTCCTCCACCAGCATTGCTTATTTGGCCCTTTCCGAGGCATGGGAAAATATTCCCGTGCACAGCCCAGGTGAGGTATGTCAGCCGTCACCAGAAGGCCCGGTTTAACTATGCTCCTGATTCTGCTGCTTCTTTTTTTTTTTTTCATAGCAGCAGTCATTTATTTGAGTATATACATATCAATGCTGCTGAGGATACAAAGTGCTAATACCATAGCATATACCCAAAACCAACACTCATTTATATAAACATTGCTACCTAGGATCAAGTTGTATCTTTTGGTCTCAAGATGGAATACTGTCCATCACAGTTCTCTTCTCCAATTTAATATGTAATTAATTGAGCAGTTCCGTATATCTGGTTATAACAATGTTCTCTTGCTTATCCTTAATTCCACTAAGATGCTTATGTGGCTCACAGGTCACATGGGAAGTGGGCTTTGGCACCAGAGCGACCTGTAACATTTTCCAGGTGCCAAGGAAAATAACCATTAAACACTAATTCTATATCCAGCTAAACCATCATTCAGAGGCAAGGGTAAAGATCAGGCATTTTCAAGCGGGGAAGGATGGGGAGAAGGGATGGTTAGGGAGTTGGGGATGGACATGTACACACTCCTGTACTTAAAATGGATAATCAACAAGGACCTACTGTGTACCACAGGCCACTCTGCTCAATGTTATGTGGGAGCCTGGATGGGAGGGGAGTCTGGGGGAGAATGGATACACGTGTATGTATGGTGGAGTCCCTTCACTGTTCATCTGAAACTATCACAACATTGTTAATCAGCTATGCTCCAATATAAACTGAAAAGGTTAGAAAAATAAAATAGATTAAGAATTTTCAGTAAAATAATGCTTACTAGCCTTAGGCCCTCACTGGAAGAACTAAAAAAGGATGTACTTCAAGAAAAAAAACACTATATTCAGGAAGAAAAACTGACTTGCAAGGAAAAGCAGCCAGCAAAGAAAGTAGAAAATGTGTCAGTAAGTCAACATAAAAATTGACTACAAAATCGTCATCGTACTGATAGAGGCTGACTAAAGGCTGGGGTTTGCACAAGGTAGAACTATAGTTTTAGGCAATAATACAGGGTGAGAAGGCCAGAGGTGGGGTGTGCCGAGGCTGTGTGTCTGGGAACGGTGCAGGGGTCACTGTCACATTTAGGCTTCACTATGTGTACGTAATGGGCTTCCCTGAGAACTCAGATGGTAAAGAATCCACCTGCAATATAGGAGTCCCGGGTTCAACCCCTGGGTCGGGGAGATCTCATGGAGAAGGGCATAGGCTACCCACTCTAGTGTTCTTGCCTGGAGAATTCCATGGATAGAGGAGCCTGGCAGGGTTGCAAAGAGTCAGATTATCACTGAGCAACTAACACTTTAACTTTTTCCCTTTCATGTGGACACAACTTAAGGAAAACGTCTCAAAAGTATATGAGTTACAAAGAACGGATGGGGGTGGGTGTAAAATAAAAAGAGCTCACTCAATCCAACTGAAGTTAGGGAAGCAGGAAAAGTAAGTGCAGAAAGTGCATGAAAAGAAAAAACAAGGCACGTACTTGCCTGAGTGGAGCTGAGAGCCCAATAGGGGAGACAGGAAAGGAATAGGCTTTTGAACGATTGTTATTAAATATTCAAAAGGCAGAATTGTAGGGTACAGTGGGAACACTTTACGAGACCACTGTTTTTTAGATTGTACTTTAAGTGACCATGCCCTTTTATTAAGTATAATGGTGCCAGAATTGCATCCATGAATTTCCACATAACATTTTACCTGAAACAAAACTTCAGTGAGGGCAGGTACAGTATCTCAATCTTGCAGATGAAGCAAGGAAGACTCAGAAAAACAAAGTCAGGGTTCAAAGTCACCAGCAAGAGGCAGAACCAGGATACAAATCTCACCTCCCTTCTCATCCACTACTGCACACTGTAGGGTGACTTAAATAAATGGGTGAATCGTTGGGGGAGAAAACACATGCCGAGACATCAGTCTGCATCAGAACTCTTAAGGCTTGAGCTCCATGAGAAGGACGGGAGAAGTGCTTTCCATTCTAACGGGGATAAGCCACAGACATTCATTTACAACATCAGGAAAGCAGGCAGGCCACTATCCTGTGGGTCCTTTAATCCATCTGCCTCCAGAAATAGACATGCTCTCACCTATAGATGAGCTCTGCTTCTCCGAGAGGCAAAGAAAAGGAAACCCTGCTCTGGCGACGTGAGTTGTAATTCTTCACGTGACTCCCCACCTGAGGGCCCGCACGCCTGTCAGCTAGTGGAAACAAAGTCGGACAAAATGGCCACCTCCTCTATGAGTTACATGGAAAGCAGGTTCGTGTTTTGTTCACGCGATGAAAGAACAAACTACCTTTTTAATTTTTAAAGTGTACATATCTTGGGGACTTCCCTGGTGGTCTAGTAGTTAAGACTCTGCCCTTTCAATGCAGGGGGTGCAGGTTCAATCCCAGATCAGGGAAACTAAGCTCCCACCTGCCTTGAGGTGTGGCCCCAAAAATAAATAAAAATGAAAACATATATATCTAGTTAGTGGGCTTTGCCTTGGCCTTTCTCGTGTTGATAATCCAATTTGGATGGAAGGCTGAGCTTCCTCCTTCCTGAAGGACCCTCTGTCAGGCATACAATGTAACTGAAGCATGGTTCTAAAATTCTTACACACCCCTGTACCTTCTAAAACAGAGTACACCACCTCTCCCCGTCACGTGCAGGCCCCTCAGAGGCTCCCGGGCACACCTCTGCTAACAAACGGTGCCGGACCACTGTGCGTGGGGACGTCCTGGGTCGCTTCTCGATACCAACTGCCCTGCTCCGCACGTGACGGCCCCGCCTGCTCCTGTGTGAAAACACACCCCTCCTCTGCTGCTTCTACCTTCCGAGCTGCCAAGGGCTGGAACCAGATAACCAAATCCACGAAAAGCGGGTATTCAAAGGGAGCAGACCAGGGTCCCTCGCTCGCCTTCATCTCTGCCTGCTGAATCCAGTCGCCCAGGGCCCGTATCCACTGAGACCACCCTCGTGAAGACCTTCTCGAATGTTCCCGACAAAATGCCACCTCCTCCTCCTCACACCCCAAGTGCTTTAAACCCCTGTGACACTTCTACCAACTCCCTGGCAGAATGTGTGCATCCTTACTTTATCCTGCCCTCTCCCTGACTTAAATCCCTGGGACAGGCAGCCTCTAAGGTAGATGGTATTCACACCTGCATGCAGTCCCTAGTGACTCACTTCTAAGAGAATTTGGTAAAGTCATCGGCTGTTCCTTTCAAGAGATGATTAAGATACAGGATGACTAAACTTGTCTCAGCCATCCTCTTCTTTTTTTTTTTTTTCTGGCCACAATCCAAGGCTTTCAGTATCTTAGTTCCCCAACCAGGGATCTAACCTGGACCCTGGTAGTGAAAGCACTGGGTCCCTAAGCCAGGAAATCCCCTCAGTCGTCCTCTTTTGCTCTCTCTCTCTTTCTTGGAGCTCTCAGTCTGGGGGAAAGCAAGCTGCCACACTGTGAGCAGCCCTATGGAGATGCTATGCCATAGTCCACGGTGGGAAGCCAACGGCAAGAAATGGATGCCTTTGGCCACTGGGGACCTAGGACCTGCCAACAGTCACGAGGAGCAGCGTGGAAGTGCAGCTTCCCCAGCGGAGTCTTCAGGTAAGACTGGAGGAGCCACTGATGTCTCTGAAATATGTAAGAGTATGTGTGTATGAGGGGTGACTTGATCATATTTGCATTTCCAGCAGATCACTCTGCCTTCTGAAGAATAGATAACAGGGCAGGAAACATGAAAGTGGGCAGACTTGTTGGTAGCTTATTACTGATACAATCGTGCAGACAACATGGCTAGTAGTCTGGACACTCAGAGTTATGATGGAAATAGAAAGAAACATATGACTGGCTTGAGGATGGTGTGGACAAGGCAGATACACCCCAGAGGTGTATCTGGGTGCCCCCTGTGGAGGGTGGTGGTCCACAGACTGAGGCTGGGAGCTACAAAGAAAACCCCAGAAACACAGTGCAGGCCTGAGGTCCTCTCCTAAGGAGAAAGTGGATGAGTTTTTAATCCCCAAGACTTTGTACCATCTATTTTGCCGACTCTTTCCTGCAGGGGCATTTCCATTATTTTCCTGGCTCTTTGCTATATTCCAGACAAGCAGAAATATGACAACACACCTGCTAGCCTCAGAATCCAGTTAATACACCCAGTAATGTATGAATTTCCGCCCATGGGGCCAATCCCGCCAACGTCACATACACAACTAGAAAGAGAATTCAGTTGTGACCCTGAAAGTGGCCTCCTTCCAGTCTCTCCCTGAACAAGCAGGGCTGGGTCTGCTGGTGGCCACTGTAACATTTCTGTTTCATCTTAACAATAGGAACATTCACTGAACGCTTCCTAGGTGTCAGGGACTCTGAGAGCCTCTTTTGCAGACATCATCTCTAAATCCCACAGGGAATACGCTGTGTGATTCCTATAAATGAGAACACCCAGAGAGGCAGAGTAATCCCAAGGTAGCAGAAAAGGAAAAGTGGTGGAGGTTGGATCTGATTCCAGTTCTGCCAGGAGGGGCAGGGCTCCGGTGCTAACTCTGTGCGTGCTAAGTCGCTCAGTTGTGTCTGACTCACTGTGACCCCATGGACCACAGCTCACCAGGCTCCTCGAACCATGGGATTTTCCAGGCAAGAATACTGGAGGGGGTTGCCATGCCCTCCTCCAAGGCATCTTTCCAACCCAGGAATCGAACACATGGATCTTACATCTCCTACACTGGCAGGTGGGTTCTTCACCACTAGCGCCGCCAGGGGAGCTGTATTCCTTCGCTAACACCATGTCACATCCTTTCACGGCTACTCTACCCAGTTAGCCAATTTATTCACGGGGTCAATCCACTCTGGTTGCCGGGAGAGCTGAAAACACCAGATCAATAATTGTTTCTCCATCTTCCTCCTCTTCTGTTACCGACAGACACCAATTAGGAGTAAACCTCGCTAATCAACCAAACCCGAGTCTCAGGAGGTGAGAACCCGGGAGCCCTAAATCAGTCGGGTGCCACATGCTTCTGCGATGAGAAGGCAACAGTTAATACCCAGAGCTGCTGCGAAGGGAGAGGATGAACTGGGAGGTTCCACATCTATTCGGTTTATCAAAGGAAAATGCCGTGCCTTTTTCAAGCACGCTTTTTAAAAGTAGTGAAGTAGAAAAAATCTGAGAAGAATTGGTCTCTAGCGAATGTTTTGTGAGGAGCTTAAAATAACAAGGTTTCCAGGTGTATCAACACGTGAATGGCGGCCTTTGGGGTCAACCACAGGCCCTGGACTCTGAGATCTATGCAGAGGTCTACACAGCCGAGAACCTAGAGGTGGTTCCGCTGAAGGTGGAGGAGGGGGCACCCCCAAACACCCGTGCTTAGAAGAAGGGCGATGGGTCACCAGCAGCCCCCTAACTCCGCAGGCCCTGGCCACTCCCTTCCCTCACAGGCTGACAAACATTCCTGCCCGTCACCCCCACGGTCCCCAAAAAGAACCACAGTTCTGTGTAAATCACAGTGACAAGGGAAAAAATGTAATACAGAAAAAAAGATAAATTGGACTTCAAAGAATTTTGAATTGAATATCAAAGAGTGCTATCTAGAAAAGAAAAAGACAGCCCGCAGAACGGCAGTATTTTCAACTCATAGCTCTGTGGGATCCAGAGCACACAGGGAACACTTGTGATTATAAGAAGTTCAAGGACACAGCTCTTCCCATTCCCCCCACACCCGGGGCCCCTGAGAGCACTGGACACTCGGGGCAGTGCCAGGCTATCTGCAGTTCCCATCTGGGTGGGTCACCAGCGACACAGCCACTCCCTGACTGCGTCTCCCGACCCCAAAGCTGTCCTGTGGCTCACCCTCCATGTCTGCATTGCTGCTGTGGACACCATGTGCAGGTACCATGGGAATGGGAACGGGGGGTCTGCAGTGAGCTGTCCGCAATGGCCAGGCGCTGGGCTGAGGGCCCTGCCCTCTGAAGCTGTGCGACCCCAGCCCTGTTCTTCTCTAGGCCTACGCTGTCTCATCTGGAAGACGTGAACTGTAATAACCCTACACCAGAAGGCGGGATGAAATGGGGTAAGTAGGACATAGAAAGTGTGCAGAGCCCGTGTGCGAGCTGCACCGTGGCCGTCTTGGTCACCTATCACTCTATGCCCTGCCCGGGTCGGTCCCGCAGGAGAAGACTGCTCAGATGCGAGTCTTCTCACACTGGCACTGTCAACAATCTCTTCCCTGCCATCTGCTACGTGCCCCCTGTTATGAATGGTGTTGTCTATGTAAATGCATTATGTATTCACTGCTTCACTGTTCCATTCATCTTGATGTCAGTAGAATTAACATTTCAAAAAGTAATAGAGAGGGAATTCCCTGGCAATCTAGGGGTTAGGGCTTGGTGCTCTCACTGATGGCTTGGGCTCAATCCCTGCTTGGGGAACTAGGATCAGGCAAGCCATGAGCCACAGTCAAAAAGAAAAAAAGAAAGTCACAGAGAAGAAAGATAAACTGGACGTCAAAAACTTTTGAATTGAAATGTCAAAGAATGCTCTCTAGAAAGGAAAAAGACAACTCAGAATGGCAGTATTTTCAAAACATAGCTCCGACAACGGTCTGATATTCAGAACACATAGACAATGCTTAAAACTCAACTATAAAAAACTCCCAATTTTAAAAATAGGCAAAGGATTTGGACAGACACCTCTCTGAAGAAGATAGACAAATGGCCAACAGGCACCAGAGAAGATGCCCAACATTATCCATCATTAGGAAAATGCAGACCAGAACCACAGTGAGACAGCACCTCAAGTCCACTAAAACGGCTGGAATAAAAAAAAGACAATAACAAGTGCTGGTGAGGAAGCAGAAGAATGGGGACCATCATATACCACTGTTGGGGATGTAAAATGGTGCAACCCCTGGGGAAAATAGTTTGGCAGTTCCTCATAAGGTCAAATATGCAACTACTGTTGTTACTGTTGCTCAGTCGCCCAGCTGTGTCTGACTCTTTGTGACCCCATGGCCTGCAGCACACCAGGCTTCCCTGTCCTTCACTGTCTCCCAGAATTTCCTCAAACTCACGTCCATTGAGTCGCTGATGCCATCCAACCATCTCATCCTCTGCCATCCCCTTCTCCTTCTGCCTTCAATCTTTCCCAGTAAGATGGTCTGTTCCCATGAATTGGCTCTTTATGACCCAGCAATTCCATAATTAGGAATATAACCAAGAAAACCTTATGCTCACACAAAAACATATACACAAATGTTCACAGCAATATTATGCAAGATAGTCAAAAGTGGAAAGTGCAAGTGTTAGTCGCTCAGGTGTGTCCAACTCTCTGCGACCCTGTGGGGTGTAGCCCCGCAGGCTCCTCTGTCCCTGGGATTCTCCAGGCAAGAGTACTGGAGTGGGTTGCCATTTCCTGCTCCAGAGGATCTTCCCCACCCAGGGATCGAACCCAGGTCTCCTCCATTGCAGGCAGATTCTTTACCATGTGAGCCACCAGGGAAGTCTTCACCAAAAGTGGAGCCAACCCAAAAGTCTCTCAACTGGAGAACTAGTAGACAAAGTGTGGCCTACCCGTACACGGGAGAGGGATGAGGCACTGACCATGCTACCACAGGGATAAACCCCTCAAATATTGTGCTGAGTTCAATAAACCAGCCACGGAAGGCCATGCATTGCACAATTCTGCATCTACGAAATACCCAGAAGAGGCAAATCCATAGAGACAGGAAGGAGGTCGGTGGTTGCCAGGGACGCGGGGAGGGAGAATGGGGTGACCGCTGAAGGGCACAGGGTTTCCTTTAGGGGTGATGGAAATGTTCCGGAATTAGCGCTGATCGTCGCAGAACTTTGTGAATACATTAAACACCACCGAACTGCACATTTTAAAAGGATAAAGTTTATGGTATGTGGATTATATCGCAATTAAAAAAACTATAAGTGAACCGAGTGACCATAATTCCATCTATATCAGACATGCGGACTACCATGCAGTTTTGCTGGAGAAGCCCAAGATGTGATGTTTGGTTTCTGGGGCTAATACTGATTAATTCTGTGACCACGATCAGTTTATTAAATCTCTCTGTTTCCCAGCGTCTTCATCTTCAAAATGGGATACTGTAGTCACGGATCATAAAGATCAGACAAATGATGTACGTGGTGAGATAAGCAAATCGGGTCCCCGGGTCCAGTCTGCCTGGGTGTGGAGGGCCCAGAGAGCCAGCACCACCCCCCGCCCCGCCCCTCTCACCTCGGGGGTCAGCGCGGTGCACCCACCCCCGCCCCGCCCCTCTCACCTCGGGGGTCAGCGCGTTGTTGTCCGAGGTCTGGCTGGACAGCAGGATGTGCGTGAAGCCCTCTTCCTTCCGCACGACGATGTCCCGAAACCGACAGTTGCTCTCGTTCTGGCGGACGCTGTACCTGAGCCTCTTGTCGAAGACGTAGTCCTTCTCGGCTTCCAGCTTCCGCTTCACCGGGCTGTGCAGGCCGAGGCCCCCGTTGGTCAGCGCAGAGCCTTCCAAAATCAGACACACAGGGTGAGAGGCTGACCGCGGACAGTCACACAGCAGCGCGGCGGGAGAGCTCTCAGACTCCACGAGAAGGCTGGGATGCGGCTGGGGCCTCCGGGCAGCCTCTGCTCCGGGTGGTGAGAGGCTACAGCTCTGACCACGGAAGAGCGCAAAGAGGGCTCTCTGTGAAGGACCCCGCGCGATCCTTGATTCCCTCTCCCACACATCCACCTGTGAGTGCCCAGGTTCTGCCTGGATGCCTTCAGCAATGACAGATCCAGGAATGGTCCCCAAATACGACGAACCACAAGCCAAAAATACCGCAGCTTTACTCATAATCAAAAACTGGGAAGCAACCAATACGCCTTGGGCTTCCCTGGAGGCTCAGCTGGTAAAGAATCCGCCGCAATGCGGAAGACCTAGGTTCGATCCCTGGGTTGGGAAGATGCCCTGGAGAAGGAAAAGGCTACCCACTCCAGTATTCTGGCCTGGAGAGCTCCATGGACTGTATAGCCCATGGGGTCGCAAAGAGTCAAACAGGACTGAACGACTTTCACTTTCAATATGCCCTTTACTAGGTGAATGGATAAACAAACTCTGGTTCATTCACACAGTAGAATATTATTTGGCATAAAAAGAAGTCCACTATCAAGCCACAAAAACACATGAATGACTCTTAAATGCACATCACTACATGCAACAAGCCAGTCTGAAAAGGTGACACAGATTGTACGATTCCAATTACATGACATCTCAGAAAAGGCAAAAGCATAGAAAAAGTAGAAAGATTGTTGGTGGCCAGGGGTTCAGGTGGAGCAAGAGGAGGGCTGAACTGGTGAAATGCAGGGACTTCTTTAGGACAGTGAAACCACTCTGCAAGGTATCACGATGGCGAACATGAGACCGCGAACATGGGCCGAAACCTGAGGAACTACAGCATAGACACCTTGGTGGTCGTTCTTCGGTCGCTCAGTCGTGTCTGACGCTTTGCGACCCCATGAACTGCAGCGCGCCAGGCTTCCCTGTCCTTCAGTGACTCCTGGAGTGTGCTCAGATGCATGTCCATCCAAGGGTGGGACGCAGAATGTGATAAAAAGAATCTAACTGTATGACAAGAGTATGAAACCACCTCCCTGAAGGGGGATGGGGAAAGGTCCTGACCAAAGTAATTTTAGGAATGAGTGGAGTCTGTAAAACTAAAAATAACCTGCATGGAAGCACTGTAGTCCAGTTGATAAACTTGATTCCTACAGAGGTAAACTGTTGTTGTTTAGTCACTAGGTCATGTCTGACTCTTTGCCACCCCGTGGGCTGTAGCCCACAGGCTCCTCTGTCCATAGGACTTCCCAGGCAAGAATACGGGAGTGGGTGGCCACCGCCTTCTTCAGGGGATCTTCCTGACCTAGGGATCGAACCCACAACCTTCTGCCCCGCAGGCAGATTCTTTACCACTGACCCACTGGGCTTCCCTGGTGGATCAGATGGAGTGGAGGAGACCTGGGTTCAATCCCTGAGTTGGGAAGATCCCCTGAAGAGGGAATGGCAACCCACTCCAGCATTCTAGCCTGGAGAATCCCAAGGATGGAGGGGCCTGTGGGCTACAGTCCACGGGGTGGCAAAGAGTCAGACACAACTGAGCGACTTCACTTTCACTTTCACCCGAGAAGCCCGTGGAGGTAAGTGGAGGTGAGTAGGAGCTCAGATTTCTGACATCAGACATGGATGCTTGAGTTGAACAATTATGTAAATAGATGGCAAGTGGGAGTGGAAGGTTTCTCTGTTTGAGTGGGAGTTTACAGAGAAGCAAAGGGTGGGAGCCAGAATGATCCATGTGGTGATGGATGAGCCCTGAAGACATCAGAATGAACCTAACATAGCTACAGATGGTTACATACAGAAATATTCCTAGATAAGCATGTCTACGCAGGTTAGTATACACACATGTATTTCCTCGCTCTGTCGGCTGAGAAGGCCCAGAGTCTGGCATCCCAATAGCAGTGGGCACCCCAGGAGCCCAGGTCTTGGTTTCTGATAATCATTCTCAACAAAAGGAAAAGGGGCTCTCTGGAGAAATAGGTGATTCCAGGACTGGGGCAGGAAACATGAAAGATAAGCTTGCAGAGACTGAAAGGAAGGGAGCAGTAAAACCAAAACCAAAACAAATAACAGTCTTCACAATGATAACACTTGTCAAAAGGACATAGGAGTTGACTGAAAGAGCTCTCAATGGCAAAAGATGCAAGAATTTGAGCAATTAAAAGTACATACTGTGTTATAATTAAAAGTAAAAAATAAATATCCATGAGTCTAGACTGATATAATCAAATGACTGGATAAACGGGAGATAAGAGACATGAATCTGAGCAAACTTCAGGAGATAGTGAAGGACAGGGAAGCCTGGTGTGCTGCAGTCCATGAGGTTGCAAAGAGTCGGACACAACTTAGTGACAGAACAACAAGAACAAGGGATAAATCTTCCATGGAGAAGAATTCCCAATAGTTAATGCAGATGCTGTACTCTCAAGGAGGCAGAAGATAGCTTCTTTAAGGGTGAGTTTCACACCTTGCAAACAGTGTAGAAAGTGGGGGAAGGGGTGTAGTCGGGGAAGAGGAACAGTGGAGAAACCTGGCTGGGGCCAATGCAGAAGCCAAAGCCCCTTCTGCCACGTGATCAAGACCAACACGACAGGGATAAGTCAGGGCGTGGCGTGCACTCCTGACATAGTGTGAGGGAGAAGGCGCTGGACCTCTGGGGGCTTCCTCTCAGAAACCTACAACCCCAGTCTAATCATGAGAAACACACAGACAAATCCCAGTTGAGGGGCATTCTACAAAATACCTAATCATTGTACTGCAAGACTGTGAAGGTCATCAAAACCCAGGAAAATTGGAGAAACTGTCTTAGGGCAGAGGATCCTAAGGAGACATGACAACTAAATGTGATGTGGGATCCTGGATGGGATCGTAGGATAGATAGTAGGATAAGGTATGGACTTTAGTTGATAATACTGTATGGATTAGCAGTTCATTGATTGTAACACATGGACCATGCTAGTTGAAGATGTCAACAGGAGAGGCTGAGTACAGGGTACACACATAGGAACTCTCTGTATTTTCTTTCCAAATTTCCTGGAAATCTAAAACTATTTAGAAAATAAAGTTTCCTTTAAAGAACACATTAAAATTAAGTTAACTTTTGTTTGTTTGTTTGTTTCTGGGTAAACTTACTTTTTTATTTATTTATTTTCATTTATTTTTATTAGTTGGAGGCTAATTACTTTACAATATTGTAGTGGTCTTTGCCATACATTGGCATGAATCGGCCATGGATTTACATGTGTTCCCCATCCCGATCCCCCCTCCCGCCTCCCTCCCCATCCCATCCCTCTGGGTCTTTTAAAAAAAGAAAACTATACCCCAGGTGATTCTGACACGCAGGCGGGTTTGAGTCCCTAGACCAGTGGTTCTTACACTTGAGCAGACACCTGGATCACCTGGAGAGGGTTCAACCAGCCGGCTGGGCGCACCCCAGGCTGTGGCCCCTGCCCCAGGGACCGGACTGTGAGAACCAGGCTCAGGACAACTGTCACGGTGGACTCATTCTTAATGAGCACGGGGTGGGGGTGGGCCTCAAGCTAAAGGCAGAGACCAGGAAATGCTGCGCTGGAGCCCTCTCCTACCCTACCGGGATGAGCGCCCAGCCCCAAAAGGGCACAGAAGCACCAGCCCCCGTGTCATCAGACAGCCTCTGAGAAGCCTCCTCATCTTGTCCCTTTCCATTACCCAAAGCGACAGGGCTTTGTCAAACACCACGATGCAGGTAAACGACTCAATGAACTCCGGAAAGCAAGCGTGAGCATTTAATTAAAAGGCTCACGCAAAGGGAGCTGTTTCTTCAGGGTCAACCTCAAAACCTCCAGCTCCCGAGAAAGCCTTCCTAATTGGAGCCGGCAGATGCGTGCCGGGGACCTGCTGGCAGAGGTTAGCGCATCACGGGAGCTGCTCTCAGCGGCGGCCACCCAGCTCGCCCGTGAGAAGTCAGAAGCTCAGGGCTCCGCAACGGCAGTGCTTTCCCTGGGGCTGGCAGAGATCTGACTTCACCTCTCCTGCCCTGCAACCAAGTCAAGGTGCTGGCTTCCTTTTGCATCAAGGAGGGGGACCTGAGGGTTACCTTTTCTGAGCAGCTCTATAAGCTGCCTGTAAATTGCTCAGCAGTCCTACAAAACTGCCCTTCTTAGTCCATTTTGCAGATAAGGAGAAGTGAGGCGCTTGTAGGAAGCCACAAAGGTTTTAAATGGCAGAGCCAGGATTAGAGGCAACTGCCCCTCCTTTTCTTCATTCATTCAGAATCTAATGGGTTATCACCTCCTATGGGTCAGCCGTCACACTAGATGTCAGAGGTCCAACAAAAGTCAGAGAAATAAGGCCCATGCCCTCCCAGAGCATGCTTCATGCTCTCCCAGAGGGTGGGAGATAGAAAGGAAACAAATAGACTAATCATTAAAATAATGGTAAATGGGGAAAGATAGGGTGACGTGATAAAGAATACTGCGGGTTCTCGGTGAAGGAGCCCGTGGTCTTTCTGTTAAAGCATAAGGGGAAGTGGCCCCTAAGAGACCATCTGACCAAATAATCCATAAAACTATGTAAGAAAACAGACCCGTATGTCTATTATCTATCAGGACACAGGGCTTGCATCACAAATGCTAACTTGGAGGACACACCATCTCTGGGCCAAGGAAGGCAGGAAGCCTCCGTGAGGGCCTGGATTCACTCACATACAGTAGCATTAAGTCACCTTTCTGAGCCCCACTCCGCCCTCCCACAGAGCTGCTCTCAAAGCTGCTACCCTTCTGGGGCACCATGCCTCCAGAGAGACAGGGGAGGCTGGCGGGGAAGGTACCACTGGGACAGAATACGCCGGAAGCAGGGAAGTTCGGGGCTTTGCAGCCAGACAGCATGGGAATCCCAGCACTGTGTCTGCTCGTCGGGAGAAGCTTGAAGC